GATGTGTAACTGATGTGATTCTGCAATCTGTATACGGGGTAAAAATGGGAGTTCATAACGCACTTGAATCAAAGTGAGAAATATGACATATCAAGAACTATGTAATGTTTTGAACAACCAACAATAAAAATTTTAAAAAAAAGGATTGAATGATTCTAAGTAGCAACAGAAAAAAAAAAAAGGTATCAAGAATACATATTGTGAAAAGGAGAGTCTTTTCAATACTTAGAGTGAGAAACTGAATATTCATTCAGAGAAGAAAGAAACTGGACCCTTATCTCATACCATTTATAAAACTCAAATCAAACTGGATTAAAAAGATTTAATCAAAAGACTTAAAACTAAATTTACTAGAAGAAAATAGAGGTAAAATCATACAACATTGATCTGGGTGATTATTTTTTCAGACATGACTTCAAAAATATAGGAAGAAGCCAGGTGAGGTGGTGCATGCCTGTAATCCCAGTGGCTCAGGAGGCTGAGGCAGGAGGATTGCGAGTTCAAAGCCAGCCTCAGCAACAGTGAGGCACTAAGCAACTCAGTAAGACCCTGTCTCTAAATAAAATACAAAATGGGGATGTGGCTCTGTTGTTGAGTGCCCCTGAGTTTAATCCCTAGTACCAAAGGTGGGGGGAAAAAAGTACAGGAAATAAAAGCAAAAATAGGCAAATGGTATTACATTAAAATAAAAAGCTTCTATATGAGAAAGGAAACAATGAACATAGTGAAGAGACAACCTAAGAACTAAGAGAAAATACCTTCAAGCCATACACATTTGATAAGAGATTAATATCCAAAATACATAAGGAACTCAAACAACTCTATAGGAAGAACACAATTCAATTTTAAAAATAAACATGGGACCTAAAAAGACATTTGTCAAAAGAAGACATGCAAATGGCCTAGAGACCTCTTAAAAAGCTCAATATCCCTAATCATAGGAGAAATAGAAAATAAAATCATGTGAGATATTGCCTCACATCCATGAGAATGGCTTTTGTCAAAACAGAAGATATCAAGTGTTGAAGAGGATGTGGAAAAAAGGGAACCCTTGTATACTGTTGGTGAAAATGTAAATTAGTGAAGACATGGAAAACTTCATGGAGGTTCTTCAAAAAACTAAAATTAGAAATATTTTTTGATCCAGCAATCCCACTTCTAAGTATTTACCCAGAAGATTTAAAATTAGTATGCCTAAGAGATATATGCATGTCTATGTTCCCTGCAGCACTATTCACAATAGCTAAATTATTTGGACACCAGCAACAGATAAATGAACAACGTAGTCTGTAGACACAATGGTACTCTGTGGTCTATATGCCCAATAGAACACTACCCAACATGGAAAAAGAAAGAAATTTTGTCATTTGTGACAACGTGGATTGGAGAAAACTATACTCAGTGAAATAAACTAGGCACAGAAAAACAAATACTACATGCTCTCATACATACATGTGTGGACTCTAAAACAATGGAACTCGAAGAAGCTGAGAGTGGAATGGAGGTTAGCAAAGGAGAGGTGATGGTTAAGAATACAAAACGTCCAGGCTGGGATTGTGGCTCAGTGGTAGAGCGCTCACCTAGCACGTGGAAGGCCCTGGGTTCGATCCTCAGCACCACATTATTCAACTCACAAAATCTATAAGTTTCTAACTTGACATTGCATTTTTCCTAGAGAGATGTTTACTACTTTTTCTATAACAGCAGAACAATTATGTCAAAGTATCATGTCTCCTAGGAATATCTAAATAATTTATAAATACTTATCCTGATTTTAGCCAGAGAAGCTGGGAGGAGGTGGGTTATAAAAGGACTACCATTCTGAACCTACTCTGTTTATCCTGTATTTCAGTCGTACTGGAGCATACCTACCAAAGTGTGGTATAGCTATATTTGTAATGTATTTCCATGGGATACACAGGATTCTTCTTAAAACAAAGACATTTTAAGGGAAGAGAGAACTAAAGCTTAATTTAAGGAGCTCAATACTCCTCCTTGAACTAAATGATGATGCTAATAAGACTTTGACAATTGTCTTATCAGCACTGCTAATTTAACAGCAGTCTTAGTATCAAACACTGACATCCTCTGGATAAACTTCGTTAGCATCAACTCCAGCAATCGTCTTTAATTTAGTCATTTTTTGTATTCGCAGCAATAAGACAGAACAAAAATAATGACTACCAGTTATCAATTACCAGCCATTTATTACTTATTATTTATCCTTAAATCTGTACACTAATTCAAACTGTTTTAAAAATAGGATAAGTAACTTGCCAAGCTAAGTCAGTGTGTTAGTAGTATAGATAAGAACTGAACCCATTTGTCTGGCTCCAAAGTTAATGCTTATTCCAAATGGAAGAATGCCACCAAAAGAATGAATTTTCAGAGGGCACAGCAAAAACAACTGGAACCTGGTATGGTGGCACACACCTGTAATCCTAGTGACTTGGGAGGCTGAGGCAAGAGGATCACAAGTTCAAGGCCAGCCTCAGCAACTTAGCAAGGACCTAATAAGCAACTTAGTGAGACCCTGTCTGAAAATCTCAATATAAAAAACAAAAAAGGCTGGGGATGTGGTTCAGTGGTTAAGCATGCCTGGGTTCAATCCCCAATATCAAAAAACAAAACTGGAAATTTCACAACTATTTAGAAGAACTTGAGGACAGCTAGACTTCCGAATAAATAAATTCTGAAACCAACCAGAAATTTTATACCTATTATTATTATATTTTTATATTTATACATATTATTATTATGACTTTTTAGCCCCAGATAGCAATAAAGCCTATAAACTACAAATTACAATTGAATAGTTTCAAAGAATCCTCACAAAAGAGCTGGGACTGTAGCTCAGTGGCAGAGCACTTGCCTAGCATGTGTGAGACACTGGGTTTGATCCTTAGCACTATATAAAAATAAAGAAAAAAAATAAAGGCATTTTGTCCATCCACAACTATAAAAAAAATTTAAAAACAATCCTCTCAACAGTACTGTTTTCCTAGCAGTATGATTGTTCACTGATGCCACTTGAATTCCAAGGAAAACATGGAATTCAACATCATAATAAAAATCATCATAAGGGACTAGAGGTGTAGCTCAGTGGTGGAGCACTTGCCTAGCATGTGTGAGGCACCAGGTTTGATCCTCAGCACCACATAAAAATAAATAAAATAAAGGTATTATGTCCATCTACAACTAAAAAATATTTAAAAACCCATCATAATAATGGAATTCAACATTATAAAAAATTTTCTCCAAAAAATAAGTTTTTTCTACAAAAGCATCTTCAATAACACTTTCATTTGTATAATATTTTTTAAAATATTTTTTATTTTTTTTTAGTTTTCGGCGGACACAACATCTTTGTTTGTATGTGGTGCTGAGGATCGAACCCGGGCCGCACGCACGCCAGGCGAGCGCGCTACCGCTTGAGCCACATCCCCAGCCCATGTATAATATTTTATGTGCACAAAGAATTCTAACATGTAAGAATTATAAGAGAGAATACAACAATTTTTAAGAGCATAAAGGACATTAAAAATTATATCTCGGGCTGGGATTGTGGCTCAGTGGTAGAGCTCATGCCTGTATGTGTGAGGCACTGGTTCCATCCTCAGCACCACATAAAAATAAATAAATAAAATAAAGGTATTGTGTCCATCTATAAATAAAAGTATTTTTTAAAATTACTTCTCTTTTTACATTTCAGGAAACTGAGGCTTAAAATTAAATGCCCCAAGGATTAACCTAAGTGCACAAAATTCAGTGTGTACTGAGCTAAGCATTGGGTATAAATGTAAATAAGACATTATGCCTTTTCTTTAGGGGTTTATGTCTAGTAGAGAAGCCAGAAACAAAACACCAATCATAATGTGATAAGCACACTTATAACATTTCCAACTATACATTAAAATTAGTAACTAGATAATTCCAATGAAATTCTAATTTTGAAGGGAGGCAAATTTAGAGGTCTATTAAAGTATAAAATCAAAATTATACAGATAATTGAGTAGCACTTCTGTGAAACTACAAAATATTTTCTAAAAGGAGAAAAATTCAGAAGTTCATAATAAATAAACAGTTTTAAAAGACAATATTTGTTAGAAGAGTAAGAATTTTGTTTATAAGCCTTTAAAAAGGCAACTATCAATATTTAATGTATTGGGCTTATAATGAAAATACAAACCAGAAGTTACCTTTAGATAGATCACGGGGTGGTGGAAATTAAGACCAAATCAATTTTTCACTGAGATAAAAATGGTTTATTCTGTAGTTTGAAAACAGAAAAAAAAAAAAAGAGGAACTTCAGGAGTTCATGGCAAATGAAAGTTTAAAAATCTAACAGAGGAGCTGGGGATACAGCTCAGTTTGTAGAGTGCCTACCTCGTAGGCAAACAGTTCTGGGTTCAATTCCCAGCACAACCACACACACACACACAAAAAAAAAAAAAAATAGTAGAATTTACTAAATGACATTCCCTTTTCCACAGATTTTTTTCTCATTTCCAGTCCACATAGGTTCTTCTAGTGCTTAAAATAAAGGCAACTTCAGATTTACATTTCTCTTTTTAACACAGCCACATTTGTTAGTGGAATTCAGCTATCCCAAACCATTTTCATGAGGAATGCATTCAGTCATTCATTAAACAAAATATTTACTGAGCACTAAGTGACAGAGTTCTAGAACCTGAATATAACATATTGAATAAGGCCAGATGGATGAACAGACAGATGGACAGATAGACCAGAAAACAAGGGAGGAACAGAGTGATGTCAGGGAAATGGATTTCAATTATACCAGACAAATGAATTGAGATACTGAAATAGGTGACTAAAATTTCATTCACTGGCTGTGTCCACTTTTCCAAATTGCAAGAATGGTAACCAGAGCACAATTTACCTCACATTTATAAATAATATATCTTGGGGAGGGGGGAAACGGGGATGGTTCATGAAAATAAATATATTATTTTGAGTAAAATTATCACTAAACATACCTTTCAGATAAAAAACAGCTCTTGTGAGGATTTAGATTTGGACAAGATTTTAGGTTGCCATCAGATGATGAAGAGAGTTGCTCTGATTGCAAGTTGTCTGTATCACTCAAACTGGCCTCAGTTACAGGTGGGGTCTTTATGTATTTTCTTCCTAACTCCGTTCCCAGGACATTCGTCAGTATAACTCTGGGTATCCTGTCACACAGAATAACAAACACCATACTGTACTGGAGTTTTCAATTAAAAAAATATATACATACATATATGTATATATATATATATATATATATATATACATATATATATTCTAAGAAGTTGAATTTTCATATCATCTTAGTACAAGTAAGCTATTAGAACTACATTACCCTAGAAATTGACATATGAATACTCAAAATTTTGTTATCTTTTATTTCTAGAAGTACTTGCTTCTTATAAATGATGGCATAAATCACAGTATGCCACAATAATGTCTTTAAGTATACTAGTAGACGCTATTATAGTGCTTAAAATATTAATCCATTTTTCTCAAAAAATGCTTTTTCTTTTCCATTATTTATTAAAAACACAGATTACTACAAGCCAATTCATCAAATCTCCTTAATTGTTATCCATATGCACTAACAGTACTTTACTGACACTCTGTGAGAAACAATATACTTAGAAAAAAAACAGAGAAAGGGCCTTGATAAGAAACTGTGTATTTATAATCAACAAATGACAAGTACCACATCCAACAAGAAAGACATCAAACATATTGCATCTATGGTAATAACAGATTCCATAAATGAAACAGCATGTATACTGGGGTTAATATGCTAATATTATAACAGCATCAGGGAGAGAGTCAATAAATTAAATATTTAGAAAAGCGAAGTGTATTTTTAAAACTACAAACTTTCTAAAATTGTGGCATCTATATCTATACCAAATGGACTGTATAACTCTGAAGAGGGTTGTGTGATATTTGTTTGGTTAGCCAAAGTTGCTATTATAAACAAGATGTACTTTGCCACACTACAACAATGTCCTCAAGACTACTATTTGCTTAGTATGTACAAGGCCCTGGATTCCAGCACCAACTTGGCAGATGTAAAGGTGGAGAAAGGGAGACTACTATTTGACTCTGAACAGACAAACCCAAGACAAATTATTGTGATTTTTTTTTTTTTAAGATCTTGTTACTGAAGGGTAGCAAGGCTGGTGGAATGTGATGGTCATCATTATACAAAGTATATGTATGAAGACTTGAATTAGGTGTCAACATATCTTATATATAAACAGAGATATGAAAAATTGTGGTATATATGTGTAATAAGGATTATGCATTCCATTGTTGTCATGTATTACAAAAAATAAAATCAATAAAAAAAAGATCTTGTTACTGTATTTTTTTATTTTGTCTTGTTTTGTTATCATGGTGCTAGGGATGGAACCCAGGGTCCCAGGCAAGAACCCTACCACTGAGCTACATTCCCAGCCATTTATCCTGCTTTTTGTTTGTTTGTTTTTGTAATTGTTGTTTAAGAGACAAGGTCTCACTGTTGCCTAAGCTAGTCCCAAACAACTGGACTCAAAGGATCCTCCTACCTCAGTCTCTCAAGTACCTAGGACTACAGATGCCTGCTTGCTATTTTTAAGGTTTTTCCTGCCTCTTCATTAAATGTCTCCTTAATTGTTATTAATATGCCACTAACAGTACTTTACTGACACTCTGTGAGAAACAATATACTTAGAAAGAACCAGAGTACTTTTGTTTAAGTGAAAATGTCAGTCTTCACTGAACTTTGTTACATTTGTTGTAGTACTCACAGGTACCCTGCTTATTTTCCCTAAATAAAGACATTGTGTTCTTTTTACTATGTCCCAGACAGAATAAAATTTCAAAACCTTAGAAGAATTTTAGATTAGTTTTCTATTCTAAACATGAAGAATCAAAAGCTCAGATAAGTTAACTATTTGTCCAAGTATAAGTAGCACTTCATAGTGGAAGAAATTTGGCCTATTTTTTTTTTGAGATTTTTGTATATTCTATTCCAAAACACTGAATCCTCAATACTAACTTGAAAAGAATTCCAAATAACTGAGCTTTTCTAAAGACACTTCAAGAAACCCTTGGAAATATTCATTTCTAGCAACATTAAAGGAAATGCTTCAATGATTATATAATCTAAAAACAAGTGCTCATAGTAAATACAACTCCCTGAATTTAAGAGTTTGTGAAGGAAGAAAGGAAAGGAAGTCTGTCATATAGTGTACCCTCTAATCATGAGTAAGCGAGGCAGAGACATCTTCCTCCTGACATAATTTAGATTTCTAAGGATCCTATTTACTATTATCTGCTTTGTATACTTGATGCCTAATAGACTTGACATAACTCTACCTAAAAATACTAAATTTGAAGTAGAAATGGGGGTCAATGTAAAGCCAGTAGAATATCTCAAGATTCCTTTTATCTGATTTTATACTATGTACTGTTACAAAGTGTATCACTAAAAGGAAATTCAAATGTGATTCTCAATGCTTTAGAAAAAATAGAAAAATTAGCAGAGAGACTTGTTATTCAAGCTAGATTTATTTTTTTCCAAATAAATATTTCAGCATAAATAAAATTTTATTTACTTTTAAGAGATCAAAGAATCTGATGCTGTAAAATAACAAAAGAATTGATAAGTGTTAGGCAGGAAATGTAGCTCAGGGGTAGAATAGTGAGGTCTAGTTTTGATCCCAGCACCACCAAAATAAATAAATAAATAAATGATAATTCTTTTATGGTCCTGAATTCTAAATGTCGCTCATTATGTATAAAAAATACTACAAAAACTTAAATATTTAATAATGAAAAAATTAGGGCATATAAAGAGACACATCAAAGAAATGTCAACTATCCTCTATTATCTCTTTTTAAATACTTGGCTATAGCATAATTTAAATATGTTTTAAAATGTTGAGTTCCTAAAATAAGCTTTTTCTCTAAAAGAGGGGACTTAGAGTCAATAGAAGATTAGGCCTAAACAAAGTGTTGAAAATAATTTATCAGTTAAGATTAAACCAGCAAGGAAAGGGAACATTTGGAATTCTTTTCTGAATAATAAACGATCATCCAATTCTTGTATGGTTTGTTTTACTACTAAATTTGAAACAAGAAAAAGAAAAAAGAACCAGAGACGTTCCAAGTTAAACAAAGAGCTAAAAGTTTCTTCCTAGAAGAGAAAAAAAATTTCAAAATTCAACCAAAAATCATTTGAAAAGATTATATACCAAGCTGCAGTAGAAGGTACATCCATAAAGGTCCCGCGAGGACGCTGAAATTATCAGAAGTTTCAAGACACTATCTCAGCATGTCCATGAAAACACTCTTACTTTGTAAAAAGATGTCAAAGGAAAAACTTAAATAATAAGTTGAACATTTAAAGGTTAATGAATTAAGTAACACATAAAATATGTAGTAAAGTGTAATTCTTTTTGTTAATGAGAAATAGTAAAGTTCAGCCAGATTAAGTGGTGCAATGCCTGTAATCCCAGAAGCTCAGGAAGCTGAGGCAGGAGGATCATGAGCTCAAAGCCAGCTTCAGCAACTTAGTGAGGCTCTAAGCAATTCAGCAAGACTCTATCTATAAATAAAATATTTTTTAAAAGGTCTGGAAATGTGGCTCAGTGGTAAACTGCCCCTGAGTTCAGCCCTAGTACCAAAAAAGAAAAAGAAAAAGTTAAAAATGTAGAAGAGTAAAAATGTAAAGAGAAGCAGTATGGCACAAAATTAAGAGCAAGGACTTTGGAGCCAGAGAAGCACTGGTGCAAATTCTGATTTGGTAAAATAACTATTTTACCACCTAAGTAAGTTACTTAGCATAATTGCTGCCTCCTAGCATAGATCACTTCATCCCTAAAATGGGAAAAATAACATCTACTTTACACAGTTGAGATTAAACAGCAGGTTTAAAACAATTAGCACAACTCCTGGCACATATTAGATTAGTAACAAATGGAAACACTAATTTTCATATTATTGAAGTCTTACTCAACCTTTTAAAAACAACCCTTTCAAATAATAATTAACTGTTACAATTTATTATGTTCTACAATATTTATCAAAATATATTTATAAAAAGTGTACAATAAGCTGGGGGCAGTGGCACACACCTGTAACCCCAGTGACTAAGGAAGTTAAGGCAGGAAGATCTAAGTTCAAGGCCAAGCTCAGCAACTTAGCAAAGCCCTAAGCAACCTAGCAAGATCTTATCTCAAAATAAAAAATAAAAAGGGCTGGGAATGTTGTACACTAGTAAAGAAAGTGTCTCTGGATTAAATCTCCAGTACCTGCCCCCCAGAAGTATAGAAGTGAACAATGACTATAATATATTCAGTTCTTCATAACACACAACCATAGCCCAAATACCTTATATCGCCTATTGACAACATATCTAATATAGGTACCTCAAAGGAACAAAGAGTGACAACCTTAGAGAATACAAATCTATAAAGTGATAATTATACTCATAGTTCCAAAACTGTCTTTTGGAATACAACTATGTAAATTAGCATTGCCAAGGATATTCTAGGGCTGGCTAGCATGTCAAAAATTCCAAATTTTCCCAAGAAATTGAAGTAAATAAATGTATATACTTCATCTCTCATATTATTTCAATCTGAAAATTTTTCCTCAGGGTGTAAACAGTGTCAGTAAGTAATATAAAATACAATTTGTTTAACTCTATTTACTAATATGATGAAACAACACTTCAAAATATCTTAAATATACCAAACCAAAGAAGAAAGAAATTTTGAAATGCAGTGAGAAATAGCAGAAATGATGTTGGCCTGAAAATAATTCCATTTTCTAATTGTGCCTCTTTATGCTTTTTCTCTCAAACTGTACCCTGCTTAAGTAGCAAGCTAACCATGATTTAGGTAATTTAATAAATGGAGGAAACTTTGAAAAACTAGTAAGAGCTATTAATATGCAACTTCATTCCAAGAGTAGTTTTTAAAAGGAAAAAAGATAATAATTATATCTGCTAATGAAGCTGTAATATAATAAAACATTATAAGAGCTGGAGATGTAGCTCAATGGTAGAGCACTAGCTTAGCATGCATGAGGCACTGAGTTCGATCTCCAGTACCATAAAAAAAAATACAATATTAATTTAGTTTCATTTTGCTATAATTATACATAGATGATTTTCTAAAATTGTGATTTATGGCATTTTAATAGGGTTCTCATAAATGTATTCTTACTTCAAAATATACCTTCTAAATCAAAACATTAAGGTTCGTAGGGAAAGGATTTAATTTCTGGATAATTTTTTAAAAGATATTCACAGTTTTCTAAATTAGCTAATTTTCCTTGTACCAACTAAATCTTAAATGAACAGATTAGCACTCACCTAGAATATTACTGGCTTAAGAAATATCATAAGGGAATAGGAATATCATACTATTAAAAAAGTTTTCCATTTTAGTACTAGAATATGGTTTGGGGTTTTTAAACTGGGGGAGCGGGGTAAGTTTTGGTTTTGTTGGAATTTTGTTTTTAACCAGAGATTGAATCCAGGGTTGCTTACCTACTGAGCCACATCCCCAGTCCTTTTAATTTTTTATTTTGAGACAAGGTCTCGCAAAGTTGCTCAGGGCCTTACTAAACTTCTGAGGCTGACCTCAAACTTAATCCTTCTGCCTCAGCCTCCCAATTCTGCTGGAATTACAGGCCTGTGCCACAATACCCAGCTGGAATATATAATTTTGTAAACATATGTAAATTTCACACACATGTATATTTAAAGAAAAACAATAAATTCATTTTTACATTTAGAAAAATTACAAATAGCAGGAACTAACTCTTTTAATGATATTTAAATACATTGCATATGAATATAATATGTTCATATTTCTCTAACAATCTCTGGTGCCAACTGATGAAAGCAGAAGAAACATAGTTTACTTCTTCAGAAGCCTTGTATATTATGTCCCTAATGGGATATAGATTTTAAAATGTCTGGAAATTTTATTCCAGGAAAATAGATGAAGACAAGACCTATAGTTAAATGTATTAAAGCTTCCTTTAGCTGGGCACAGTGGTACACACGGGTAATCTCAGCAACTTGGGAGGCTGAAGCAGGAGAATTACAAATTTGAGGCCAGCCTCAGAAACTTGGATAGAAAAGAATAAAAATAATGTTTTCAATGTAAAACAAGTTAAGTTTAGGATATCTGGACCATAGTTAAGATGTCTGAACTAGTTGAGGCCCTAAATAACAGTCAAATTCTTCTCAAAAATAAAACACAAAAAGGCCTGGAAATGTAACTCCGTAGTAAAGCACCCCTGGATTCAATCCCTAATACCAAATAAAACAAAAACTTCCTGTATTGAGTATTTAGTATGAGCCTACTATTATATTAGGAACAAAGAAAAATAAGAAATAAAATATAGTCCTTACCCTTATGAAGTTCATTGTTAGAGAAACTAAATATCACAATATAGTGTGATGAATGCTGATATATGAAGAGGGTTTTTAGCAAGACAAAGAGATCAAATATAATTATGGAAGACAGACTCAAGGGGGGCTCTCAAGAGACGTGTGAGTTCAATGTTTAAAACCAAGAGAAACCAGTAAAAAGGAAAAGGAGATTATTTGTAAGAGAAAAACAGAATGCATAAAATAGCATTATATGTTCAATGAACGACCAATAGTTCCCTAAGTCTGAATTACTCTGTAAATGTAGAATAGTGGAAAGACACAAAGCTAGATACAGATAGGCAAAGGGGAATCATCACAAGGACCTGTGAACCAAGCTAACTAGTTTGAACTTTATCTTGAAGGTTACATGGAATCACAGAAAAATGTTAAACCATCGAGTCACGAGTAAGACCTGATTTTTAGAATGAATACTTAGACAAAGACAAAAGGAATATGCCAAGAAGAAAAAGTATGCACAGGAAGCCTCATCTATTTAATGTTATAGTAACAACAGCACAAAGTTATTAGGACTTGAGCTGAGGTACTGGCAGTAAAGATGAAGAAATTATTTCAAGATGAATTTAGAAGAAAAAAACAACCCGAGGTAAATAACTAGATATAAGGGTAAGAAAAAAAATTTAAAAAAGACAATTCCCAAGTTCTAATTTGCAGAACTGGGTATACAAGCAAGGCATTCACTCAAATAGTAAGGGGATAGAAGAGAATAAAATAATGTTTTCAATGTAAAACAAGCTAAGTTTAGGATATCTGGATTGTAGTTAAGATATCTGGACTAACTGAATGCTAGTAACTAAACAGGAAAAAAAATTAAAATCTTATTAGGGCTCTTTACTTCATGTAATATGTAAATTTCACAAACACATAATTTAGAGGCTAACAATTCTTTATGGGAAAAACTATTCTTCAGAGAGAATGGAACACCACACTCTTTTAATTGAAAAAAGAACAGTAATGGGATAAAAGAATTGAAATATGTGTAGTCATTTGCAGAAGAATTAAAGCTTCCTTTCAAAAGAGTCAAAGATATGATCATTCTTTTAACTAGCTCCTTTATTACATCTGTCAGCACAGTTTGGGATTAGTTCTCCTGTACAAAGTGGGTAAACTGCTAAAATCCAGTAGAATGAGAGCAAGATGCTTCAAACATACTTATATTAAACTATCTTTAAGGTTCACAGTATTTTAGAAAGCTAGCTCTACATTAGGAAAGATCTAGTAGGGGAAGTCTTATTAAACTTTTTTTGGTTTTACCCTTATTTAGCAAGTTTAGAAGTTTTGATAAAAGTGCTACTTTTATTTAAAATAACTGTTCAAAATTAACAATCTTTTCCACTTAAAACACTTATATACTGTCATCCAGATTAAAGTTCATATATTATTAAGCACTGTCTAGTCAATAGCAGATTTTTCTAATTGAAAATAAAGTGCCTCCCCCAAAAAATATTTATCTAAGAGCTAAAAACAAATGGAGATATATAGTTTTTGTTGGTTTTTTTGTTTGTTTGTTTGTTTGTTTGTATGGTATTAGAGATTGAACTCAGGCACACCTGACCACAGAGCCACATTCCCCAGCCCCATTTTTGTATTTTATTTAGAGCAGGGTCTCACTAAGTTGTTTAGCATCTCACTTTTGCTGTTGTTGACTTTGAACTCACGATCCTCCTGCCTCAGCCTCCCAAGTCACTGGGATTACAGGCATGTGCCACCACGCCTAGCAAGATATATTAAAAATATTATTTTATAGATCACAAATTCCTAGAGTTACTTCCTTGTGTTTAGCTCAAAATTCCACATACAATCTTTTTAGAAAACCACAAGCAAAACTGGTCTTCTTAGTTTTCAAAATTAAACTGAATATTTACTACTAAAGCCTGGAAGTGGTATTTTTAAATCATATCCATTTTTTAAATGCATGTAAAATACAAGAAAGTTCAAAAAATCAAAGGTAGTGAGGATTCAGATAAAATAACATTTAAAGGTATGTTAAAGATGCAGAAAACAGGCAGGTGTGGCAGGTGCTGTCATTAATACCAGACCATTAAAGAGCTGCTGGGGCTGAATGGTCATGGGGAAGCCAAGTAGATCCAATCTTTTGATGCACAGACACAGCAGCTGCTGAAGACAGCACTCAAAGGTGAACAACATGCCCATGATGGCCCTAATGAACCCCATCTATGATTGTCTCTTCCAGCTGGCCCAGCCTGCAGTCTAAGCAAGGAGAAGGTAGACTGCTTGGTGCTGCAGCTGTACTGGGTTGGGAAGCAGCTGGAGAAGATGAACGGGCAGTGAGTGCATGAATGAGTTCCTGCTTCCAAAAGGCCTTAGCTCCCTGGCCCAGCTACTGCTGCTAGAGATCATTGAGTTCTGGGAGGCTGGCTGGAAGACCACGCCAGCTGCCCACAAATATTACTACAGTGAGGTTTCTGACTAGGTCTGGGTCAGTGCTTTCTCACTGCAGCAACGGTCTTTACTACACCCTCCTCCAAAGATGGCAAGACAGCTGCCTCTTCCAAGGCTTTCCCTTTCTAGACTTCCACATCTCCCCACTTATGTCATGGTCCTCCCTTCCCTTCCCTCACTCAGAGGTTGGTGGGAGCACCAAACAGATCTGTTCTGTCTCGCTCAAGATTGACCCCCTTTCCCCACAGCTCAATAAGCCTTTTTCCCACCACCTTCCACCTGGCCAGTCAGAGAAAAGCAACTCCTAACTAGTGCACCCTACAATAATTGGTGCAACATTACCTTAGAGATTGGTGGGGGTACCAAACAGATCTGTTCTGCCCCGCTCAAGATTGACCCCCTTTCCCCACAGCTCAATAAGCCTTTTTCCCACCACCTTCCACCTGGCCAAAGAAGAGCAACTCCTAACTAGTGCACCCTACAATAATTGGTGCAACATTACCTCAGTGCCTCAGTTTCCCCCTCTGTGAAACGGTTAACCACAGCCATCAGTAAGATGCTTTGGGAAGCTGAGGAGCGCAGAAAGAGTACAGCTCACTTCAGAAACTGCTTTTTATACTTTTGTAAAAAAAAAAACATAGTGGAAACAAGCCAATATCCTCCGATAAGTTTTAATAAATGGTAGTTCTTATATAATGTGTTACACTAGTTCAGATTAAAGATTTTCTAAAAACTCATTTCTGACAAAAAAAAGGATATTTTTGAAAACAAGAAATAGATATATACACATTTGTGTGTATATATCTTATATGTAAACAAATGTATGTGTGTATATATCTTCGTTTTATATTGTAATATAATATACTAAAACAATATATACATGAATTAAATTATTATAAATAAGTTAAATGTTCTAAGGATATTCATTTTTAAATATAACTCCATGTCAATCGATTTAGTGAAGTACAGAACCAACATCTAAATGAAGATTCAAAGTTTCAAGATTTGCTTTAGACCAGGGCATACCTGTATATGCAGATCTTCTTCCATATTATTTCCAACAATCATATTTTTAAGAGTATTGGATTTATATTATTTCAAATGTGGTAAGTTGAACAAAATCAATACTGAACAACATACCTTTCAGATAAATTAAGGCTTTGATGAAGAGGTTCTAATTTGTGACATGTCTCTATGCTGTCAACAGATGTCGAAGTCAATGAATCTGATTGTACCTTGTTGGCATCATATAAATTAGCATCGTTTCTAGGTAGGGTCTTTGTGAATTTTCGTCCTAAATCCGTCCATAGAACATTCGTCAACATAACTTTGAGTTGCCTGTTACACACATAAATAATTAATACATTCCACACTAAACATTGTATAATACATGAATTTATCACAAATTATTAATATATTAATCTTTGGAAATCTAAATCTCAGATTTTTAAGCAATTAATTATAGTAGCAAATAGTGTTAAGTTAAAAAAAAAACCCTAACCATTCTCAAATACATATTAAAAAGTATGGCTACTTCATTTAAATTGGGATTTTCACCAGAATTCTGACAGGCAAACTATAATTGTGGTCACACATGTGTAAGCTGTTGAATTCCTGACAACCCATCCATACTTATTCACATTGCTAGTAAAAGGACAATATACATCTGTAAATCTCAACACAAATGCAACCACTTTCTGGCTAAAAATTTGTTTTTATTTTAGCAGAAAACATTATAAAAACTAGGGGAAAATAATACATCATCTACAGCCTACATAGTCTTAAGATATAGATTTCATTTTACCTTTTTTCTAAAATGGGTAATTTTTAAAAAATTTTTATTATTAGTTGTTCAAAACATTACATAGTTCTTGACATATCATATTTCATACATTTGATTCAAGTGGGTTATGAACTCCCATTTTTACCCGGTATACAGACTGCAGAATCACATCGGTTACACATCCACTTTTTTACATACTGCCATACCAGTGTCTGTTGTGTTCTGTTGCCTATCCTATCCTCTACTATCCCCCCCCTCCCCTCCCTTCCCCTCCCATCTTCTCTCTCTACCCCATCTACTGTAATTCATTTCTCCTCCTTGTTTTTTTCCCCCTTTCCCCTCACTTCCTCTTATATGTAATGTTGTAGAACAATGAGGGTCTCCTTCCATTTCCATGCAATTTCCCTTCTCCCTCCCTTTCCCTCCCCCCTCTCCTCCCTGTTTGATGTTAATCTTCTTCTCATGCTCTTCCTCCCTGCTCTGTTCTTAGTTGTTCTCCTTATATCAAAGAAGACATTTGGCATTAGTTTTTTAGGGATTGGCTAGCTTCACTTAGCATAATATGCTCTAGTGCCATCTAAAATGGGTAAATTTAAAACCTTTATTATGCCAATCTCAAAAGGAAGCCTGATGAATACAAGCCGTTTCAGGGATCTGCCTTATCACATATGCAATATGATACGACACAATATGTCTTTGTGGTGACAGTATTTGAAAAAGTATGCTCAGTTCTGGAACCATGAAATATAGTTTGTGAGTGATGTAAACAGGCTAATAGTGGACTTTAAACAATGTCAAATAAGAAACAACTGAAATAACCAGATATTTAATCAGAAATTTTATTCCCTAGTAAGCAGTTTTAGGCACTTTTTGTTTGTTTATTTAACAAACACAAGAATATTAAGAAACAGCAAGCAAAATTCTCATGTATTTTCAAGAAAAACAAATCATCTGTTCACAACATGTACTTGAGATTATATTCCCAAATCATCTAGGAAGAGAGGGGAATAAATTCTAAGGAGAACTTCTACAGAATGCATTGAAACTTCAAACATGTAGAATTAAGGGGGGGAAAAGGCTAAGCTATAAGGAATAAAGAGATGAGTAACACCTCTATGAATTAATAATACTTCATGCAACAAATATTTATTGAACACCTTCAAGCAAAACAATTGTGCTAGTAAGACCTAGAATCAGCAATAAACAAGATAGCATTCTCGCTTTTATGGAGCTTACATTCCAGAGAATAACTCAATTCATATTTAATTACAACTGTGATAAGTGATATGAAGGAGAAGTTCAAATGCTACACCTCTTCAAATCAGGAAAGGTTTTACTTAGAACATGGCCCTAAAGCTAATGTGTTAAAGAAGGCTAAGCACTCTCCAAAGGAAACAGGTGGAAAATGGAAAAAAGACCAAAAAAAGGGACAAAACACAAATGTTCTGAGTAAAGCTTTTAGGAAAATTAAAACAATTTACCCAGCTCAAGGGCTTAGAGTGAAAAGAAAACGTGTATGAGATAAGAATGGCAATTAGGCAGGACACAGTGGACCATATTAAGTATTTGAGACTTTATATGAACAATAATAGAAATTCACTAGTTTTTAGAAGTAAGATCAGAACTGCATTTTTAAAAGTCCATTTTGATCTTTTACAGACAATGAAATGAAAGCACTAAGGAGAAACGGGAATAAAAATGAATTCAAAGAGAGAATTGCTTACTTCATCAGAGGCACTTTAATGGAACTGTAGAAACAAAACCAGAAGACAGTGGGATAAGTAAATGAGAAAGGCAGTGAGGGATACAGCAAATGTAGATATTAAGAAATATGGCTGTGAAATAGTGAGATAGGACAAGAGCTGAAGATGTGGTATACAGGAAAGGGATTTTAGCTTGTTACTGGTTGGTTAGTTGGTTAATTTGAAATAGGAAAGATCTACATAAGTTTAATCATTTATAGGAAGAGGTTAATGAAGTAGGAAAAGTTGAAGATATAGGAGACAGAATAATTCCCACAATAAGATTCTTAAGAAACAGTATAAAAACAGTTAATATTTACTGACCATGTTAATATATATCTAGCACTTTGCTAAGCATTTTACACTGATTGATTCATTTACTACTACTCTCTGAGATAATTCTTTCACAGTTGAGGTGACTGGGTAAACAACAGAAAAAGAAATGGTGAAAATAAAATCCACAACCACTCCCAACTCCACTGCCAGTATATTTCACTGCTCTTCTATAGTGGTTTATGAGAGAAGGGGCACTCCTTTCCATCTTCTAGGGAGTAGAAGCAAACAGACCATTTCCTAAAAGTGATATGAAAGGTAACAGAATATAGGTTTGAGAAGAGAAACTGTTTCAAATAATCATTGTGAAGATGGGGAATACAAGTTTACTAGAGAGGCACAAAAGACTGTCTTATACTTAAGGAATTCCACTGAGATTAATAATCAAGAATTAATAATGCTACATATATACTGTTTCTTTTGTTTTGCCAGCAGTACCTAGTCACTTTGATGTCAGCACAATGCAAATAATGCACTGAGTTTATAGATGATTACTCACTGCTAAGGAAATGGCACTAATGATGGGGAGATCATCTTAACCAAGTGATCAAACACAGAACCATCAACACTGAGACAGTCATACACTATGTGTCCCCTGATATGCACAATAAGAAGTACATCAGGGGATGGGGTTGTGGCTCAGCGGTAGAGCACTCACCTAGCACATGCTTAGCATCACTTAAAAATAAAATAAAGGTATTATGTCCAACTACAACTAAAACAAGGTATTTTTAAAAAGAAGAAATATATTAACTATGAAGTATCCTTGCCAAAAAATATAAAAGAATCACAAAAATATTGAAAATACAGAAAGTAAGACATTCTATAAGAAAACTGACTTGAACTCTTCAAAACTCAATGACATGGGATTAGGGGACATAGCTCAGAGGCAGAATGCTTACTTGGCACGTGTGAGACCCTGGGTTTATTCCCCAGCTAAGGCAAAAAAAAAAAAAACCTCCATATCAGAGTCAAAAGCGGCAATGGGGGTGCAAAGAAACAGGCAGGAGTTGTTCCAAACTGACACTAATGGGGCATCATAACAAAATACAATGCATGAATCTCAATTTGATCCTAGATGTAATAAAAGACATTTTGAGGACATTTAGGGAGTTCCGACTGTGGACTTCATAGTAGATGATGATATGAAATTATTGTTAATTTCCTTGATAGTGTATTATGGTTGTTATGTCAGAATGTCCTTGTTTTGTGGAGTTGGGAATGTAAGTTCAAGTATGTAGAAGTAAAATGCTTGATGAAGTTGCATGATGTCTGCAACTTACTTTCAAATGATTCCCCCCAAAATGTATATGTATGTTTATGCATATGTACATGTATACATGTATGTATGTGATACCAATTTATACATATGTGTAAAAGATTCAGAGATGCCTAATATGGCAACATGTTAACAAATGGAGAAACTAGATGAGAGATATATGTGTTCAGTGCACTCTCGATTAAACAATTCTATGTCTGGAGTCCTAAATGAAGGCAAATATGAAATACAGGAGTAAAAACTTATGCACAAAACACTGATCACAGTATTATTTATCAGAGAAGTAAACAAAACTGGGATGTAGCTCAGTGATCAACACTTGCTTATCACGCACAAGGACTTGGGTTGGATCCCCAAACAGTGAAAAGAAAAGGAAAAAAAAAAAAAAAAAAAAAACTAAACACAACCTTAAATGCCTAGCAACAAAAGAATGGCTCAGTAAATCACGATAAATTCACTTAACAGAACGTTACTTGGTATCTAAAAGTCTCCTATCTTAAATTTTAAGGGTTGCTAGTTGTGTTCTACTTTTTATTTCTGTTTTCTATATTAAGCAAATACTATATATATAAAGCAAAATATTTTTTAAGGATTAGTAAATAGTTCATGCTAACCTAGTATATACTATCGATTGACTAGTGGAATGAGTAGATATTTTACACAGGTAAAATTAGACTATATTAAGTTTTATGAATGCACAAATTAAAATTCTAAATAACCAAATAAAAATATATGTAAAACTTTAAGAGCATATAAAGGTACTTTTAGTCTAATGGAAAAATGAAATGACCCAATTACTCAATTATTATGGAAATTATTCAAATAGTAAACTTTTTAATAATTTTAAATAAGAAAATACTCAATTGGAAAAAACATTCTTTATTCACTCATCCAAATAAAAATTTACATTAGAAAATGACAAATCAGAGCTGGGGTTGTGGCTCAGTCATAGAGTGCTCCCCTAGTATGCCCGGGGCCCTGGGTTCGATCCTTAGCACCACATAAAAATAAATAAATAAAACAAAGGTATTGTGTCCAACTACAACTAAAAAATAAATATTAAAAAAAAGAAAATGACACATCATTGGTAATTTCACTGATTATTCTAACAGTGAAACTCTAAGTGAGAAGGGCAATTTAGCATCTTCGGGGAAATATTTATTTCATGTTCTAAATAATATTTATTTCATGTTTGAAATAC